CCAGATTTACAAGTGATCTACTAAAGTGAAAACTTGCAAGTGCTTTTTATGCGTACACAGATTAGCATGGCTGCTCTGAGGTAGTCCAGTGCACTGTGCCATCAGGCACATACAGCTGTAGCACATCATAGATCTGCTTCACCAGCATTCCTCCATGCTCAGCTCCGATCTGCATTTAAATGTCCTGCATTAACAGCTGTAATGGAACTGTGCAGAGCCTTAGGCAAATAAACATGATAACCACCAATGATTTTGATTATAGCAGTGCGAGTAGTCACATAAAATGCAGAAGATAGAACATTACAGAAAAACAAGTGTAGCTGGCAGTCTGGAATAGTTAAGAAATTCTTGTTGACACGTAGCATTTGTTAAGTTCTTTCTGCTAGTATTATACTCAGCACTTTCTAGAAAGTGCTACCCTGACATTGTTCAATGTGGGAACTGTTTCTACAGTAAATGAAAATGCCTTGGGTGCTACATTTCATCATGATTTCAAGCTCAATACAGAGAAGAGATTTTACCATGTACACTAATAAAAAAGTCTGCTTTCTGCTCCAAATTGTTCTTCTCACAGACTGCACAGACTTCCACCCCCAATCCCTGGTCTCCAGAAGCTGGGAGACATCACACAGACTTGGCTAGGAGCTGGAGGAGGCGTAAGAAGAAGAAAGTGTGAACAAAGACCCATGAATGACTATCCACCCTTCTATTCACTTTCCCCACTCTGGGGTCATGATTGCACGGCCTGCTTTCAGCATCACAGACATAATAATGTTGCCGGTAGAAATGGGGTCCTTTCACAGAATTGTGAGGAAAGCATTTCGGGTGACCCACTCATGGGATGATGTGGCGCAGTGGTAAGGATGACTGAAACTGGAGCAAATGCAAAGGACCGTCCTGGGTTCAGCTCTTGTCCCTCTGGGGCCAAAGCCCAGCCTTGTCTGCATCAGGCCCAGAAATAAGGCCAGTGTCCAAAAATTCTGTACCATGCCACGGCAGTCCAGTTTAGTCTCTGTCCCCATCTGGCCAGCTTAGTCTGTTCTTGGCTGCACTTCAACAGTGCCCAGGCCTGCACTTGGAGCCCAGCTCCTGGGGGGTCACAGGCGGCTGCTAGTCCCACATGGCTGCTATGGAGCAAGAATGAGGATGCTCATGCACAAATGTGAGTGTTACCAGGCAAGAGAGCGCCAGAGCTTTGTTAAACTTGGATGACACGATCTGGGCTTGAGAAAGATCAGGCACTTTTTCAAAATAAGCAATCAATTTTCCAGTCCTTTGCAGGTTTGTGCTCAGCCCTCCCTCTAACCAATCCCTTTCCTGGATCTTATCTAATCCGACCCTTTTCCCAGGCTAGACACCTCCCCTTTATGGCTGCCACCCTGGCTTCTACTGCACATGCACTCAGCAGAGGACTTTCCCCTTTCTTATTTTCTCTCTTCCTCAGAAATCCTGGCTAATGACCAGTCCTGATGGGGGATTCCTTTTGCTTCCTTTCTTTATTAACATCTAGCTACCTATGCTAACAATAATAGACGAAGAGTTGCTGACAGCAGCAGTGAACTTTGATTCTCAACTCCCCTTGGGCATCTAACATGATGATACTTCAGTAATGCTACTGCCCTCTTAGAGAATTGTGCCTGAGCCTCTGATAGTGGGTCCTTTGAGTCCGGAAGGGGTGGAAACAGCATGCAAAAGACACTTTTATTTAGATCTACACGCTGGTGAACTCCTGGCCTAAGTGAACCTCTGTTACCACTAGAAAGTGGTAAATATGGTTTCTCATGGAACTGACTCCAAAACTAGATTTGCCTTGTTTTATGTGAAAAATATGACATAGATTTACCTTATGACTGTGATTGTTTTACGTTTAAGATCCTTGAATTGATTTGATCAGCTTCCCTGGAATACAGACTATTAAAAATATTATTTTGGAAGCTGTTAGCCTTTGTTAAAGTTTGGAAAAATTATTATATCTAATATTTTTATTAGAATTAGTAAAATCTCTTTAACCAATAGAACCAAATTTTTAATAACATATCTCCTTTCTCCTTCAACTAAATGATTTAAATTTTATTTTATAAGAACAATTCATAACTTGTTGTAATGTGTGCTTTAAGCAATTAACTTGCCAGAATATTTTCAGCATGTATTCACTGTAAGTAAAAAATAAATTGTCTAACAGTTTCTTTTTTTAAAATTTCAGTCATATATCACTGAATTCAAAGCACTCAGACTGTGGCAGGTAGGTCATATGAGTAGTTTCATAATATATGAACTATTGGTGCACTTTATACTGCTAATACTGCTAACAAATTTATTTGTTGAACTATAGTTAAATCAGCATGGCCATTTGAAATTCACATTAGTTCAGTAAACAATGCCTCCCCCCCCCAAAAAAAACCCCCTATTTTAAAATCTCTTTTTCTGCTGCTGCACATTTTCAATTAATCAATATATTTCTTATCAGTCTTCCACTGCTAAAAAATGTGAAAAGTTGACTGGCCGCACAATGGCAGATGAACTAAAATAACTGAAAAGCATCAAATATTTTTAATTGGTATACTGGGATCTTTTACACACACATATGCACAAGAACAAACATGCTACTTATTTAAATGTATATATAAAAAATAAAGTCAGACAAATATCTATTTACTTTGAAAAGATGATGGCATCACTGGACAACTAAATATGAGAGATCTATTTATAATAATCTCCCTTCCAGACTATTTCATGCTATTTAACAGACAACATTCCAGAAATATACATATCGTCTAACTTATTTCTTAACTGCAAATGTGGTCACATGAATCTATGCTAGAACTATAACAAAAATATGCATATTATTAGTATATCTTGGCATAAAAGACATGTTGATAAATCCTATCAATGAGGCAAATTTCAACCTCTTGTCATTTACTGTTAATATATGCATGTTGAGGTGATATTACAACTACAGCAGGTTATAAGTCATAGTTTAGATTTCCAGGTTGATGTCTTTGATCTTTATCTTATATGATTTAAATAAGGTTATTTTGATATATATTAGTAATTGTCTAAGATAGATGTCTAGATGAACTTCATTTATCAGCCATAGTTTTTGTAGAATTACTTCTTTCCATTAACAAAACCAATAAATTTTTGATACTATACCAAAACATAAGACAAATTCTTCTTCCTCTTTTTGAAGGCAACATTAATGAAGCATGCATAACATTGTTACATAGTTAGAATAAATTATTTTCTAAATCCCTAGTACATGTTTCTATTGTGTGTATCTGTAAGTTTGTGTGTTAATTCAATATATGTATTCAATTCCACCAGCCCTTCCAATAGTATCAAATGTATGCCTTCCTTTTCCATTTAACTGGAAAAACCAAAAGGCTTTAGACATAAGGCAGAAAGCAAAAAGGACAAATGCTTTTGTTTGAATTATGTTGCCCTTTAAATTATACCGCACAAGTACAAGTAGAAATAGAACAATTCTAACTTTAGAAACTGTAGCATATAAATGTCTCCACTAGGCAAACTGTCAAGACAACCTGGATAGCGTCAGTGAAAGTAGGTCTGTCCTTTCTTGGCTATAAAACTGGAAGGAGAAAATCTTATTACCAGCGGCCTCTTCAGATAAAAATCGGTTTTGAAGCCAAAGCATCTCTTCTCTCTTCCTCAAAGTGCCTCGTCAGTTAATTTCTAAATGTCATGAGATTTTTTTTTCCAAAAGAGAGAACTATTGGCTCTTCTATACTGTTTACCCCTATCCTAGGTAAAATTATTCAAAATTCAAAATTTTAATGAAAAGAAATGAAGATCTAAAACTCTATTCAAAGTATAATAAAGGAAAACAGTCTCCATCAAGATAGTTTATAGAAGCATTCATAAAGATAACATTAGTGAGTATATAACCTATAAGTAGAATTTCCCCAAAAGAATGGCAGAGTCAAATACACCTTCCAAATTTCTATTCAGCCTTTACTAATACATTGGGAATAATCCCATTGACAACAGTACCTTAAACATTTAGAGAGTTAGAAACATCGATGAGAGAGAAACATCGATCAGCTGCCTCCTGCACATCTCCCACTGGGGATGTGCCCGCCATTGTCATAGCCCAAATTTCAATAACTTCAAAGCATTTACTTTGCCAACCCCAAATACCACAATACAGCTACAACATACATTACAGAAAATGAAGAGTTCCCATCAGGTTTTGAAGATAACCATATTAACTAAAAAGTACTAAAAGACATTTATAAATAAATCACACCCTGCATAATATACTAATCTCAAGTTTAAAAATAGTAAATTTCCTCACTAAAATGTCCCTCATAGCCCAGATTTCAATAACTTCAAAGCATTTACTTTGCCAACCCCAAATAACACAATACAGCTACAACATACACTACAGAAAATGAAGAGTTCCTATCAGGTTTTTGCAATAGGAAAAAAAAAGTGCTTCCTTTCTTTTTTATATAAAAAAGACAGGAAGAAGATAACCATATTAACTAAAAAGTACTAAAAGACATTTATAAATAAATCACACCCTGCATAATATACTAATCTCAAGTTTAAAAATAGTAAATTTCCTCACTAAAATGTCCCTCAGCAGATATCTATCATCCCTTTTTGAAATGTTATAAAAATGAATCCCTTAATTATCACATAACTACCTTCACAGTTAATGGGGATAGACAATTATTAAAATAGAGATATTAATTAACACTTTTAGAAACTTCATTAACACATTTAGATTTATTATTTTATCCCAATATCTAATAATTAATATAGGTGAGATATGCACTATATACTCTAGTTCAATATACATTCTAATAAGTACCATGCCAAGGTAAAGCAATAAGTTTGGAAATTTAAAATGTCAAATATTTCTGCCACGAATCATATTTGTGTTTTATTATTGTCTTACCTCAATGATTTTGTCATGAATCTCCAAGCCTTCTGCTCTGTCAGCAGGTCCATTTTTCAAAATTTTTGAAACATAAATTCCTTCTCTTGATATTTCTTCTTGATCATTCTATTAAAAATATAACCATTAGCAGTAAGAAAGATGTAAACAAAGTTTTTAGTTGGATCAAGGACAATTTAGTAAATGTCTCACTGCCAACCCTTCTTAACATGCAACTCTATTTCTTAACTGGGATTTGACACTGAATTTTAACTTAACACCAGTCATTCATCAAGATGTCAGCTTTAATGAATGAGTCCAGCATCTCTGGCCAGATTATCTATTTACCTCATGTTTTCAAGTGTACATAAGAAACTATGGGGAAAGGGCATGTACAAGGCGATATCAACAGGCTCCTCAGTATGATTTATAGAGCATCTCATTTTGAAAGAGAGGGTGTAATTTAAAAAGGTTGTAAGTTAAAGAAAACAAAAAGCATATCCAGCCTCACTATATAATTGGTTTGAGATGTGGTCATAGTCTTCAAAATATAATTTAGCCTCATAATGTGACAGATTTGGGAATATAGCTCTGGCTGTTTCTAGTCACAGGGAAGACTGGGAGCTTGCTAAAGTGTGAAATCCCAAAGGATCAACTCTAAGCCGCAAGAGAACCCATTCAAAGCTAACTGTTACACATTTCCAGGTGTAATGAGCCTAATGATCGAGTAAACCTCAAACATATAGCCAATATGGTACAAGCAGTACATGTTAGCCAGTCCCAGGAAACCAACTACAGTACAAAACTTATTTAGGGAAAATGCCCAATATCCTATATAATAAAAGCCTAATATGTAAATCGACCCAATGACGGAATGACCGGTCACTATGACGTGAACTGACCACCAGGGGGCAGATGCTCAACGCAGGAGCTGCCCTCAGCCCGGAGACCCCAGGCCAGCCAAGGCGGGTGCCAGCAGGGGGCCCCTTGATCACCCCACAGATTGGCCCTGATGGCCAGCCAGGCCTAGGGACCCTACCCATGCACAAATTTTGTGCATCAGGCCTCTAGTCTTATAATAATACATCATATAATTTTAAATGCCATTTCACTTCATGGCAGGTTAAATAACATTTTTCTCCTTAATTAGTCTTCCTCAGCATGAATTTTAAGAGGCTCTAAAAAATGGCCAATGTCACCCAAATGTCAAACACCTAACTATCATTCATAACAATATTCCTTAGGGGAAAATGAAACAAAAATTATATGATGAAAAGACGTCTATTTTTTCCATAATAAATGGGGACTGTCCTAGAGACAGAAGCAAAGCAGTCATTAGTTGCTAGGTTTTTCAGATGCTAAACACAAAGAGGAAATATGCCATTGCCATCCTGACCTAAATAGAGCATATGGCCTACAACTCTGAGACAGTTCCCCTGGACAACATCTGCATTGCAGGATGCAAAAATTTCACGGCAGTTTATTGAGAAAATTAAAGAACATGATTTTTTTAAAAGCTTCACCACCTTTTTCTAGTTAGAGTGAAAATTAAGTTGATGTAGTATTTAAAGGATATGATAGAACTTTGCAACTACAGCACAGAATAAGGTAAAGATTATAACCCATGCGTTTTGAAAACAGTTGACATCCATGTAGAAAGTATTATTCATTCAATTAAATAAAAGAATTGATTTGCAGAGTCAAAAATATTTCAAACCTGCTCTTGTCCTTTAACATGGCATTTCCTATGTAACTGTGAAAACAATATCCCTTATTTCAAAACTGATTTTAATGGTTCATTCATTCATTCAGCATATACTGCCTGGTCTGTGTAAGCATCTGAAAACTGACCAACTTAACATAATCAATAGGAGGTGCAAGCAGGCAATACAATTGCCTAATATCTTATAGAAATTGCCTATACACATTACTATGAAATAGGTTTATTTAAGAAATTTGCCAGTGGAACCATACAAGGTAGATAAAATGTGAAATGTACTCTTTTCTTTTTAAGTAGTAAAGAGAAGGAAGTTTTTAGCTGTTTTGCTTTGCTTTTCTAAAAAAATATATAGGTATGTACAGGAATATTTGCAATAAGTAAACTATTAATCACAAGCATAATTTTAAAGATCAAACCCAGATGCTTTTTGTACTAAAAATCCACAAATGAAAACTAAGTTATTATTTTATAAGCAAAGAGTGAGCTATGCATTAACAAGGTGGGTTACCTGATTTGGTCGACCTCCTATAATATTGAATCCCAAAGTGTCATTTTCTCGTTCTAATAGAATGGTGAATGGCTTATGTTCTCCACCCTGGAAGAAAGGGGATAAAATAGCAAACTCCGTAAAAATATACATAAAAATAAATAAATTCTAGAGTAAAGCTTTTTCCCCCACTGTAAATAAATTAATAGTTGAAAGGGGGAGGGGGGACTTACAATTAAGGATGGCTGAATTTGAGGGAAGGTTAATTTATTCCTAAATTCACTTTGAAAGTGTGTATTTGAAGGGAACAACCATGCATGTGAGAAAAATAACTATTTTCAACTAAATGGCATTGCATTTTTACACATTAAGCAGCTTTTATTCTAATGCATTCATTGTTTAATTCTGACTTCACTGTAATTTAAAACAGAATTCTGATTTAGCCTTGCAAGTGTTCTTATTCTTTCCCTCTATTACAAAGGAGTGACATACATTGTTAAAGGATCTGAGAATTATTCTATGTAAAAATTTCACCTCGGAAAGTCTGAATGAATAGTGAACTATTTATACATTTCTTTCCATTGTACTATTTGGATTATTATTGTCATGCAAGATATGACAGGTTACAGTAATCCTAATTTTAAATAGTATTCTTATTGGGTTTTGCATAACTCCTGAAGATAAAAAACAAAAACAGAGAAGAGTTAAACACATAGGAATTATATCTACAACCTGTTTATTAGTAAAGACTATTTTAAAAATAAGATGAATTAGTGCCAGACTAGAGGAGTGTGTTTCGTTTATGGCTATGGATGCTAACTATCCTAAGATATCATATGTTTGGCAATGGGCAATTACTTCAGAATGATAAAATCGCATAAGCATCTTTACCGCTGCTACCCTCATAACCCCCTTTCCCCAGGAGCTTTTCCCAGGCAGCGTGCACAGCAGCCCCTACTGGTGGTGGGAAAACATTTCTGAGGAGCACAGAGAAGCCTGATAATTAAGTCTGCAAATCATGGGCAGTTTTTCCTCACTTCTGAGGCCATAGCTTGACTTTTTGAATGGACTTCTCCCTCATATAATTCTAGCTGTTACTCCTTTCCATCAGCTATTGCTTCCCTAAGACCTTGAAACCCGAGCTGGCACTACAAAGCATATTTCTGGCTTCTCTCTAGCTCTTCTCACTTTGTAAATTTATCTGGATAGAAATAGGATAGAGAAAGAATAATAGGTAGTATCCAGATTAAGCAGTGATTAAGCAGTGTGCTTCCGTTTATCAGAATAGAAACATTTTAGCCCTTCACATTTCTTTCTTTCTTTTTTTTTTTTTAGGTGCAAGGGCAGAAGCCTCTTAAGTCCAGGCCTGAGTTGGAGGGAGTCCCAAATGGGAAGCACCCCGGGTTGCCCCTCCCCAGAACCAGGACGCTGAAGAATGGAAACAGCTCCTTGAATGGAGTGCAAGTCCTGCTAAACCCCTGCTCACCATGGCAGCGACCAACAATGTCAAACACTGTGCAGAAGTCCTCCAGAAGAGAAGTAACAGCTTTATAAACAAGGGGTGCTGCAAAGAGGCTTGTTTATTCGGTCTAAAAGCAGGCAGCCCACGAGCACAGAGCACAGAGCACAGAGCACAGTTGGGGCCAGCAGCTTCCACAAAGAAGGGAAACAGCCGCTGCAGAGAGGGGGGGAGCGCCGAGGGGGGGGCGGGGGGGGGGGTTCTTTGACCCCAGATGGATGTAGCTGCTCTCAGACTTGGTTCCCCAAGTCTCTCTCTCTCTCTCTTTCTCTCTCTCTCTCTCTCTCTCTCTCACTCACTCTCTCTCTCTCTCTCTCTCTCTCTCTCACACACACACACACACACACACACACACACCATCACCACCACCACCACCAATACTGAAACAAGAAGGCAGGTAAGGGTTATTAAGGGAAGGTGGGAGTGATGCAAAGAACTCTTCAGGTCTAAAACAAATATCATCTCTTAATCTCTTAACTCTAGTTCCCCACATCCCTGACGTTCCCTGCACTGAGTAGAAAGAAGGTGGCTGATATGGGCAGTGTGACAGGGAAACCAAGTCATTCGGACCCAATGGAGGGGGTTACTTAAGCAGGCCGCAGGGTGCTGGTGCAGTGGGAGAGGGAGGCAGGGGTGGAGAGGTCCCTGCTTCCTGGTCTCAGGTAAGGGCCAACGGTACCAAATATAGGCAGAGAGGGTAAGGGCAGGAGTCAGAAGGAGGGGAACAAGGTTTCCGGGAGAGCAAATGAGTTTTCCTAATAACCTCCTTCTTCGTGGAAAAGTTGGAATTGAAGCTGTTTAACTCTTCCCAATCCTCATATAAATAGAAAGGGAGCAATCCTTGCTGACTGCACCACTGAGACACTGGGAAGATGAAGAATCGTATAGTAACACCATCGGGGCGGGTGGATGGGTCCCCCTGCGTGGTAAGGAAGGGCATCCATCACCTTCCAGGGAGTCCTGAACTACAGAACGAACCTTCCTCTTTCCACCCCAACCGATCCTTCCCCGGGGGCCCAGCCCTCCGAGCTTACCGGGCCGTGGCCGCCGCCCAGGTCCCTGGGCGAAGTTGCGGACGTGAGCCATGTACTGGGCGAACTTGTCCCGGTACCTGCGGGCCGCCAGCTGCACCTCGCCCTGCAGCGCGCCGAGCTGCGCCAGCAGGGCCTGTTGCGACGTCTCATGCGAGCAATCGTGTCCGGAACACTGATGGGCCCGTGATAGTTCGCTAGGTCAGACGATAAGAAAACCAACCCTGTCCATACACGCCTCACTCCCTCTATCTCTTCCTCGCGCCTTATAGACTCCTACCATTAACCCCTCTCACCAGCCACAGCGAGCATCCTGTATATTGTATCAGCGAGGTTAAGAGAACTTGTGATTCACCGAAAAGGCTACATCATAATCATTTCAGTCATCCTCATTATATATGCGCAATAAGAGATGATTAAGGTGTATTTTTCATCTTATCGTGGAGTCAATCTGACTATGACTGACCATCATAATCAAAAAATAAATACTATCCCGACCCCGCCACCC